ATATATATATATATAATATATAATAATATATATATATATATAATAATATATATATATATACACATATATATATATATATATATATATATATATATGTGTGTGTATATATATATATAATACATAAATACCGATCAATGTCAGTATCGGTTGGTCTGGCGAGAAGGAATCATGGCCTTTTTTTCTTTTTGAATTCGAGCATCGAGCCTTTATAAGGCATTTGTGTCCACGATGCTAGAAATTGGTCCAAGATCTTAGATGGAAAAAGAATTGACCAATCACATTGGTTAATTAGCCGAATTATTCAAATGCAATAGGTGAATTCTCTTTTCATCCGAGATCTCGGATCGATTTCTAGCATCATGGACATAAGGCATATCAAAGACGGGACAGTGTTCTCGTTTAACTTTAATATTAAATATGCGTTTATATTTCTTATAATTTTATGCAATGAGAAAAAATACTTAAAAAAAGATTATGTATATTCATAAATTTCAAATGCAAAGTTGGCAAATGTGAGAAACTCCGTATAGTTTTTCCCATCTAACCCCCACATAGTTTTTCCCATCTACTTTCTACATAGTTCTTTCCATCTAGCCCTCACATAGTTTTTCTTATCTTATTCCCACATAGTTTTTTCCATATAGCCCCCACCTAGTTTTTCCCATTTAGCTCCCCACACAGTTTTTTCCATCTAGCCCCTATATAGTTTTTCCTATTTCATTTCTTTGGTAATTTTTATTGGCATAAACTCTAAATTGTTATAAATAAAATATTAATTTTTTAAATATAAATTATAAATTATTATTAAGTAAAATTATATTAAATATTGCTTGAAAATTATAAAAGAGAGAATTCGTATGTTTGTAAAGTACTTTTTCATGTATCGCTCGTTTTTAGCAACAAAATAGGTCATGTGATCAAAAGTGACCATTCAAATTTTATTATTCTGCATCAATTTGATCATGTGACTTATCTTATCGCTTAAAAGAATCGATGAATGACACATGAAAAGGTATTTTAAGGGTTGGCAGGAGTGACGGGTTAACTTCGACTTGATTTAAAATGATTATCTACTCCTTATTTACAGTGTAGATATATTTGTACTCAATTATATTTTGTCTTATAGAAACGATGTTTCGTCATGAAACTTTGTTAAGATAATTTCTTTTACAATTACAAAGCTACCTACAGAGCCAACTTTGCAATTTAGCTCTTAAATAATTAAAATAAATGTAACTATCTACTTCTTATTACAATGCAGATATATATTTGAGTACACCCATATGTTATCTCGTAGAAGCAATATTCTGCCATGAATCTTTTTCTACGTATTTTTTATAAAATTATGACTCTTGCTACAGAGCCGGTTTTGCAATTTTCTTAAAAAAAATTTACAATAGATAAAAATATTTGCATCTTATTGTCCTATAGTGCAAATCTATTTACGCATAAATGAATTATTTATTTTCACACATTTTCTTACAAAAATCGTTCTGTAGCTTTCATCAGGCAAATATTCTAATTATAAATATCATAATTATATAGCTTTTTTCGCAGCATTTTATAAAAAAATATGGATGAAAAGGAATTTATCTCCTATAGAGATCTTTATAATCTCTCCTGTCGATCCTTAGAGGCTATATTAGACTAACGACTCGGCTACGGTTGATGATTCTATTATTACCAATCACATTGACCATAATTAGGACCTGCTACATTGTGATTGGCTGAAATAGAATCGGCAACCATAGTTGCCGCAACCGTTAATCTGATATGGCCTTTAAGGAAGTGAAACCTAAAAAAGTTTGAAACTCTGTACTTAATTATTTGTATATAGATGACGCTAAGAACACTCTCATGCTCAATTCGTTTGCCTCCCGATCGTTCGGGTCGCAATCCATGGCTTTTTCTTTTGAAGTATCGCCTGGCGTTTCTTAGTTAATAATTTAAATGGCCACATTGTATTTTTGCATTTGTTGTATAAAGTAATTATCATAAGTTTTTCTCGAACTTTTGGAAACTGTTGTTGTCGCGTCGTTTAGACGTATACACGATACGTGAAAGTAAAATATGCGAATCGACATATACATATGTCACCGGCCGGTAATTTTGTGTACGTGGTCAGTGATGGGTTTACCCGGCGCTGTTTAAAGAATGCACGCATGTTGTTAGAAGCGCGTTAGATGCTCGAAAATTCGAAGCATGCATTTATCTCAAAATAAGACGTTCGTTTCTCCAACTCATCTAATGTTTTTGCTTGTAAATGCAATTATAACCTCCTCGAACCTCAGCCTGCAAGCTAGATATATATATAGAAACTACCTGTTATCATCTCGTAGAAATTAAATTTTATCTGGACTTTATGTTAAACCAATTTCTTTGATCGATAAGAATGATTGTTTAATGTATAAATGTGCATGGAGAAAGGGTAACTTAAAAGAGTTCTTATTTGTTTATAGATTGATGTAAGAGATCCAAGATTTATTTCATCTAAAATTGTTGTGCGTTTTGCTACATCAACATGGTGACGCTACTAAAGACAAGAGGTCTGCGCATGACAGCGCAGAAGCAGGAAACACTTTTAAAATTAACTGTGCTTTCCTTAGCAGCAATTTTATGTAGGTTTATTATTAGCTACATATTTCTGATTGAGATAAAGAATCATGGATTGTGTATTTAATCATTTCTATATTACATTCTTTTGCAGCATTTGCCACACGTTTGTTCTCAGTATTAAGATTTGAAAGTGTCATTCATGAATTTGACCCATACTTCAATTATCGTACCACAAAATATTTAGCTGAAAATGGATTCTATAGTTTTCATAATTGGTTCGATGATCGCGTTTGGTATCCACTTGGCAGGATAATAGGAGGTGTTAATTATGCTTATGTATTATGTCTCAAAAGAAAGGAAAACATTTTATATTTTGAAAATAAATTTTCCATAGGAACTATATATCCTGGTCTGATGATAACTTCAGCAGCATTGTATCGTATCTCGTGGCTACTGAATATCACACTGGACATACGCAACATTTGTGTCTTCCTTGCTCCATTATTTTCAAGTTTAACAACAATTATTACCTATCTGCTTACCAAAGAATTAAAGGTACAATTTATGCTTTTACTGGTTGTGATATAGTCCTCTTATTCTTTTTTTGTTAACCGATATAGCAACATTCTATCATGTTTATTTTACTTTTTTAGGATTCCGCATCAGGCCTATTTGCAGCTGCAATGATCGCAATTGTACCTGGTTATATATCTCGATCAGTTGCAGGTTCTTATGATAATGAAGGCATAGCAATCTTTTGTATGCTATTCACATATTACATGTGGATCAAAGCCGTGAAAACAGGAGCGATATGTTGGGCTACGTGTGCAGCACTGGCTTACTTTTATATGGTATCTTCATGGGGCGGATATGTCTTTTTGATTAATCTGATTCCATTACACGTATTGACGTTGATGGTGACTGGCAGATTTTCCCACAGAATATATATCGCGTACAGTATTTTGTATTGTTTAGGAACAATTTTATCCATGCAGATCTCATTTGTTGGTTTTCAACCCGTTCAAAGTTCTGAGCACATGCTTGTAAGTCACGATATTTTTAAGACACTTTTTAAAAGAAAGAGATGTTTCTACACTTAATTCGTAATTTTATGCATTCGTAATTTTATTTGTTTCTCACAGGCTTTGGGCGTTTTTGGCCTTTGTCAAATACATGCATTAGTAGATTACTTGCGAAGTAAATTATCCCAAAAAGAATTTGAGATATTATTCCGTGCCTTGCTTATTATGGTGATTATGACGTCATGCATAGTTGGTGGTATTTTAACTATCACAGGTATTAATTTCATATATATATTTTTTATATATTAATATGTATAATATGTGTCAAACATATGATTTCATTCGCTACATCTCTTATACGCATTGTTAATTTTTTTAAGGAAAAATATCACCATGGACTGGACGCTTTTATTCCTTGCTTGACCCATCTTATGCAAAAAATCATATTCCAATAATTGCTTCAGTTTCGGAACATCAGCCAACATCATGGAGTTCCTTCTATTTTGATCTGCAAATACTTGTATTTTTATTCCCATCAGGCTTATACTTCTGTTTTTCTAAGTTGACAGATTCGAACATTTTCTTAATTTTGTATGGAGTTACCAGTTTATATTTTGCAGTAAGTAAATGTGTATA